AAAAACAGCAAGGGTGCAGAGCACAACCGCCTCTACCTGGTCGGGCAGCCTCCAGATGCAATTAGTGGGTACCAGGAGCCAGTCCAGTAATAGAAGACTTAATAGATGGTCAGGTGGGTGAAAGAGTGAGAGGATACAAGGTGTAGTGGTGTGAGCTGAAGGTAGGCCTATGATCACCAGGCGGCAGAACAGGTCTATGGACAAAAGCTCTCCTATCGGTAGTCATGGAAACGGGTTTATGAGGTAGACTTTACTGTCTACTTTTATTATTATTATTATATTTTTTATTATTTTTATTGTATTATGACTCAAGAAATCTTTAAAAACACGATTGCAATATACCCTAGTTGGATGAATCTTTTTGTAGCCGGGCGGGCCCCCAGTGGCTTACGCACTAGCTTGGATTTTTAAACGACTCACAGACCAGGGTTCTAACCCCACCCGTTCAATTACCAGGAGTTTACCTGGAGAGAGTTCCGGGGGTCAACGCCCCCGCGGCCCGGGTCTGTGACCAGGCTCCTGGTGGATCAGAGCCTGAATCAACTAGGCGTTACGGGCTGGCTGCACGCAACCCAAACGTACGGCCACAGCCCGGCTGGTCAGGTACCGACTTTGGGTGCTTGTCCAGTGCCTGCTTGAAGACAGCCAGAGGTCTATTGGAAAATCCTCCTTATAAATGGTTATTTTTTGTAATCAAGTTAAGCGCAAAAACCCTTTAAGGGTCTTTGTAGCTGGTTGTCTCCAATACTCCACTACTCATTACACACAATGACCCGTGAGGGTTTAAATGTAAGTCACCATCACCCCATCCCCTAACACCACTCCTTTCACTATAAGCATAAAAAGGATCAAAATATACTCATACTGACTTTTTTGTTTTGCAGTGTGTGACAAGGAAGTAGAAGAGACAGTGAATGGCAGCAAGCAGAAGAGGCAGTAGATGTGAAGCAATTAGAAGAGGTGAATGAGGTCCACAGAAAAAATCGAAGTCTCATCACAGAATCGCACGTCAAACAAGCTCTGAAGGCACAACAAGGCAGCAGTGCACAGCTGCTCTCATGGACTGTTACAGACTTCACAACAAGGGGGACAACTACGCATGCGTTGTGACAGGTGTAGATGTTCGTTATCATAATGAGGAAAAGACAGGAAAACTTCGTTTTTTACTGAAATGTAATCCATGTCGGGACCCTCTCAATATTTAATGAATTTTTCGACTATGGCTTTTCAGAAGGAGGCGGATATTACCTGGAACTTTTGCCCTTATTCAACGCTCACTTCAGCAGTGATTATGTGAAAACCAAATCGGCTCCTCACTGCTACTTTGCTCACACGACTGAACAAAAAGGAAGTTATATTACTTGACGATTTTTCGTCCGGAAGGTTTCAAAATGTTTGACCGTATGAAAGGAATGGACAAGGCCCACGCTGTCCTTGTCCTCAAAGAACTCAGTAACCTTCACGCTGCCTCTAAAAATATATCAAAAAGAAATATCAATATTTTTAGAAGACAGGTACACATATATTCAGACTCTCATTCATGTCCCGAGGCGATGGCTTTAAGAAAGTGTTTACTTCATAAACCGAGAATGCAGCAGAGATAGCAGAGAGAATCAGGGGAAAATAGAAAAAAAGTCGTTGACTTTACCACTTTACCACCACTTGAGTGGTGGTAAAGTGGTTTAAGGCGACGGGATTAGCTTGGCTTCTAAGGAACAGGGATAAATGTCCCAGGGTTTGATTCCCAGCTGGTTGCAGTATTTTTATAATGTCGTGCCGAAAAGGTGAAACTTTTCGATTTTGGCTTAAATAGCAACGTTCTTCTTGCCGGGAAAAAGGCAAGCAAAAAAATTTTTGTATGCAAAAATTTCGCAAAAATCATTCTGACCTAACGAAAACAAATATCTTTCATTGTGTTTGTTCTTATTAAATTAATTTTAAACGTATCTAAAATAAAATTTAGTGGGATTAGACTAAAAATTTAAATGCGTTTGTTATAATAAAAGGTTAGGTAAGTTTTCTAAGGTTTTTTTTGGTACAAAATTAATTAATTTTTACATTACATAAATGAAAAAATATATCATGAAACATATAAGAAAAATTTTAAAAAAAACAAAAATCTTAAACCCAGTTTCCCACTATTTGAAATAATTTGTTCCCCCTTTCGGGTTTTTAAAAAATACACAGACACACCCCCACACCCACACACACCCCACAAATATATATATATATATTAAAATATATATATTTAAAAAAATATATTTATTAATATAATATATATATGTCGTGGAAAAATGTTTAAAAATGGGCAATTAGCAAGAACTCTTTAAAAAATTTAAAACCCTTTCCCAAAATTTTCCTTATATTTTAAAGATATATTTTTTTTATTAATGTTAAAGTAAAAAATTTTTTTGGGGGACCAAAAAAATTTTAGAAAATTACCTTTAAATTTTTATTTGGGAAGAAAAATTTATTTTTCCTCCCAACCCTTTTTAATTTTTAAAAACGTTTACAATAAAAATTAATACTAAACAAAACACAATCAAAAATATTTTTTTTGTTAGGTTCAGAATGATTTTGGCGAAATTATTGTATACTCAAATTTTCACTTGTCCTCTATGGCAAGATGAGCGTTGCTATTTAAGCCAAGATAGCAAGTTCTGCCTATTCGGCACGACATATATATATATATATATATATATATATAAAATTATATATATATATATATATATATATATATATATATATATATATATATGCAGAACAACCACTGTGAAAAATAGTGAAATTCCAAGCGCTTTTGTGACTTCTCACATTATCAAGGACCTATGATAATGTGAGAAATCACGAAAACAATTACAGAAAAATTGTTTTTGTGTCACATCTACTGCAGTACTCACAACTTCTGTAAATACTATGCTTGGCAACCTGGATAATCTTACTCGTGGTGCCCTGAACACACACACACTCAGGTGATAACCACAGACCAGCTTGGTGTGACCCGCTCTTCCACTCTCTCCTCCAAGGAGTCCCAAATAATCTCGTACTTCAGTTAGTCCTTTGATCATTTACTTCAAAGAGCCCTATCATCAACCTATTCTTCAAAGAGTCATTTTATCAACCTGTTCTTCAGTACTGTGATCAATCTGTCCTTCAATAAGTTCTTTGATCAACCTACTCTTCAAAGAGTCCAGTGATCAACCTGTTCTTGAATGGCTAGTGTGATCACCCTGTACTCTAAATAGTTCAGTGAACTATCAAATATCCAAATAGTTCTGAGAAGTACCCTTACTCCAAACTACCTCGTGTAAAAACTCTCCAGTCAAACGTCTCTCCTTAAAAAGTAAGTATATTATTTATATAGACTCGTGAATGTTTTTGTATCAAGGTGTAATGATTATTTCTCAACGGGAAGCATAACCACTTGGAGACAAATAGAGGATAGAAAAATTGTCTATTTCGACTTGTACTTGACGATTGAACACCTTCAAGAGAACTATATAAGCAAAAATTCTTTCTTGATTGACATACCCATATCTTCACATAGACTTATAAACGTTTTAAGTAAGCTTAGTAGTGAGTTTGTACCCTGTATAGTGTTTGGCTCACAAACTAAAGGAACCAGGTTCGAATACTGGGCTGGATGGGAAGTAATTCAAGTCTCCTTATATATATTTGCTAGCTGTTACCTTATCTGTGTAGGTCTTGTATAAGTTGTATCATCTACTTGTGGAAACCAAGATTATCAGAGTTATGGCCACGTATGTAATGGAATATGACAGGGAAACCATGTTGTATGAATGAAGTATGAGTGAAATTCATCATGTTTGATGGCACATGACAGGTCAACCATCCTATATGATGAGTATGACACCAAACTTATCCTGAGAGATGACAGAAAATGGAACATGACACAAAAAAATATTATGTGTAATGGAATACGAAAGTAAACTTATCCAGCGTGACAGACGACAGGTAAACCTTGTTAGTTTTTTTTTTTTTTAAATAGTCTCGCTGATAAATCCCTTTCAGCCGTTAATTTCATACTTCACTTAGTTTAATATATTTATTACACACCGGGTACCCATCCTGTCGGTGGTAGTCACCCTGTACCCATCCTGTCGGTGGTAGTCACCCCGTACCCATCCTGTGGGTGGTAGTCACCCCATACCCATCCTGTGGGTGGTAGTCACCCCGTACCCATCCTGTGGGTGGTAGTCACCCTGTACCCATCCTGTGGGTGGTAGCCACCCCATACCCATCCTGTGGGTGGTAGTCACCCCGTACCCATCCTGTGGGTGGTAGTCACCCCGTACCCATCCTGTGGGTGGTAGTCACCCTGTACCCATCCTGTGGGTCGTAGTCACCCTGTACAAGATGGGTATAACAAACTTATTGTCCCATCGTATTCCACTTGAACCTGGTACTAGACCTATCTATATACCTGCGTACAGAATGCCTCATTCACAAGTTGCTGTCGCAGAAGAATTGATCAATCAAATGCTTGATGATGGAGTTATTTCACCTAGCAATTCATCTTGGAATGCACCCTTGATCCTAGTACCTAAGAAGGATGGTACTTGGCGCCCAGTGATTGACTTTAGGAAGTTAAATGCGAAAACTATTCCAGATCGCTTTCCACTCCCTGTACTGGGTGATCTTTTACGTAACATCGGAGATAACAAAGTCTTTTCAACCCTGGATTTGTTACAAGGGTTTTGGCAAGTCCCTCTTGTGAAGCAGATAGACAGACTGAAGCAAAATAAGTCGCCGGGTCCTGATGAGGTTTTTTCAAGGGTTCTTAAGAAATGCAAAATGGAACTCTGTGAACCATTAACTAATATTTTTAATTTATCTCTTCAAACAGGTGTAGTGTCTGATATGTGGAAGATGGCTAATGTAAACTCCTATTTTTAAAACAGGGGACAAGTCGTTACCGTCAAATTACCGCCCAATAAGCCTGACCTCAATTGTAGGCAAATTACTAGAGTCAAATTATAGCTGAGATTATAAGAAGCCATCTCGATAAGCATAGCTTGATTAATGATACTCAGCATGGATTTACAAGAGGCCGGTTTTTGTCTAACTAATTTATTAACTTTCTTCAGTAAAGCTTTTGAGGCTGTTGACCACAATAAGAATTTGATATTATTTACTTAGATTTTAGTAAGGCTTTTGATAATTCCCACCATAGACTGTTAAAGAAAGTGGCAGCTCATGGCATTGGGGGAAAAGTGCTCTCGTGGATCGAGTCATGGCTCACTGACAGGAAGCAGAGAGTGTCCATAAATTGGGTTAAATCGGTGGGGATCTGTAACAAGTGGCGTTCCACAGGGATCAGTCTTGGGCCCGTTGTTTTTTAAAAATTTTATATCAATGATCTTGATGAGGGAATACTAGTGATATGAGCAAATTCGCCGATGACACAAAGATAGGTAGGATAATTTGATTCAAACGTAGATGTTAGGGAACTTCAGGAGGATTTAAACAAACTCTATTATTGGTCAGAAAAAGTGGCAGATGCAGTTCAATGTAGATAAATGCAAGGTTCTGAAGCTTGGGAGTGCCCATAACCTTAGTACTTATAAATTAAATGATGTAGAACTTAACCATACAGATTGCGAAAAGGACTTGGGGGTTATGGTGAGCAGCAACCTTAAACCAAGACAGCAATGCCTAAGCGTACGTAATAAGGCAAATAGATTACTGGGATTTATATCAAGAAGTGTAAGCAACAGAAGTCCAGAGGTCATACTGCAGCTTTATACATCATTAGTAAGGCCTCACCTAGATTATGCAGCTCAATTCTGGTCTCCGTATTACAAAATGGACATAAATTCGTTAGAAAACATTCGGCGTAGGATGACTAAATTAATACATAGCATTAGAAATCTTCCTTATGAAGAAAGATTGAAGACTCTTAAGTCACATTCACTTGTTAGACGAAGAATGAGGGGAGACCTGATCGAAGTGTATAAGTGGAAGATAGGTATCAATAAAGGGGATATTAATAAGGTCTTGAGGATGTCTCTCCAAGAGAGAACCCACAGTAATGGATTTAAATTAGATAAGTTTAGATTTAGAAAGGACATAGGAAAGTATTGGTTTGGAAATAGGGTAGTTGATGAGTGGAACAGTCTACCTAGTTGGGTTATTGAGGCTGGGACTTTGGGTAGTTTCAAATCTAGGTTGGATAAGTACATGAGTGGGAGGGGTTGGATTTGAGTGGGACTTTCACATCAGAGCTTATTTCTTGGGTGGCATTGAAAATTGGGTTGGGCAAATGTTTTGTTAGTGGGATGAATTGTAAAGGACCTGCCTAGTATGGGCCAGCAGGCCTCCTGCAGTGTTCCTCCTTTCTTATGTTCTTATGTTCACGAGGACAGCCAAGAGCTAACTGCATTCTCCACTCCTACAGGTCATTATCACTTCCTCCATATGGCGTTTGGATTACGATCCTCCCCTATCACGTTCTCAAGGCTCATGACTAATATCTTTAGAGGTCTCATAGGTAATGCACTTATGGTGTACTTAGATGACGTAATCGTCATGTCTAAAGACGTGGATACACACTTGAAAAGACTTGATATAGTACTTGGTAAGCTTGAAGAAGCCAATTTAAAGATCAAACTGTCTAAATGTCAATTTTTCAGATCAGAAATTAAGTTTCTTGGTCACATAGTCACTCCTAGAGGGGTTACGACTGACCAAAGTAAAGTAACTGCAGTACTAATTTTCCAACTCCCAAAACTGCTGATGCCGTAAGATCCTTTGTGGGCTTAGCAGGTTTTTATAGATCTTTCATTGCCAATTTTTCTTCTATAGCTGCTTCTCTAACCGAGTTGCTTAAGAAAGATGCTCCTTTTGTTTGGACCTTCCGTCAAGAAAGAGCATTCCAAACTCTAAAAGAAAAGCTAACATCTGCTCCAATTTTGAAATTTCCAGATTTTTCTAAGCCCTTCTATCTGACAACTGATGCTAGTTCTATTGGCATAGGTGCCGTACTAGCTCAGAAGACTGATGGCAAGTACAACGCAGTTGCATATGCTAGCCAAGTCCTTACGAAGGCTGAACGTAATTATACAGTAACTGAGCAAGAAGCTTTAGCAATAGTATGGTCTTTAAAGCACTTCCGAGACATTATTTATCAGTACTCTGTTAATGTCTTGACAGACCATGCTCCACTGATACCTTTATTCCAGAACAAACAACCTACTGGAAGGTTAGCCAGCTGGACCTTGACTATCCAAGAGTTCAATCCCACCTTTGAACACTTACCTGGCAAGTCAAATGTAGTTGCAGATGCCTTATCGTGATATGTTAGTATAGTAACTGCAGACCCTCCATTTAGTGCTGAAGATGTCAAGAATGCTCAATGAACAGATCCCATGTGGTCTGGTGTGATTCGATTCCTGCTCCAGGAAGATCTTATTCTGACTGTGAAGCTACCAGCACCCATCAGTGACTTTGTCATGAACCAAGAATTACTGTATCGAACAGCCAAGTTGGGTACTCCTAGCAGAAGAGTATACCAGTTAGTAATTCCACAGTCACTAGTGAATGTAGCCTTACAGCTAGTTCACGATGTACCAGGTGTTGCGCACCCTTGTATGGATCGTTCAGTAAAACAAGCCAGATTGAAATACTTTTGGCCTCGTATGGCAACTGATATTTCTGAGTATGTTAAGAAATGTAGTGTCTGCATGCAACATAAAGGTAATGCTAATGGTCCTAATCCAATCCAAGTGTATCCAACCACTAGCGAACCTTGGGAAAGAGTTGCGCTAGATTTGTTAACTAATTTCCAATGTTCCCTCCAGGGCAACAAACATCTGTGTGTTATGGTAGATCATTTCACCAGATATTGTGAGTTAGTTCCTATTGCAGATAAGACTGCCGAGACAGTAGCTAAAGCGTTTAAAGAACGCATTATCTGCAGGCATACCACCCATAAGTCCCTAGTAACAGATAATGGAGGTGAATTCTGTGATGAGATTCTTGAAAATTTGTGCACCTTGTACAAGATCTCTAAATCCACCATTGTTCCTCATCATCCTGCCAGCAATGGGTTAGCAGAACGTACCAATAAGAAAGTACTTGATGTCTTGAGACCCACTATCAATCCCAACAGTGAAACTTAGGATGAAGTTATACCTGATGTGCAGTGTGCTATAAATTCTGCTTACAATGTTTCTATAGGTGACACTCCACATTATGCATTGTACGGTGTAGATAAACGTTTGCCTTATGAGTTGCTATATTCTAATCCGAAACCAAATTACAACCCTGATGATTTCATAGCAACTCGTACCAGCTTAGCTCAAAGTGTTTTTAGAAGAATCCGTGAAACACTTCATAAATCAACAGCAGAATTTACAAGAGTCGCAAACACTCGAGCAAAGCCATCCAAAATCAAAGTAGGTTCGAGAGTTATGCTGACTAACTTTAACAAAACGTCTGCAATGCCTAAGCTTGATCAAAAGTTTGTTGTCCTTATCGAGTAGTTGAAACATATCACTGGTAATAAGTATAAGGTTAGAGAAATTAGTACTGGTCAGTATAAAAAATCGCATTTAGATCATATGAAGTTTAGTATGTGATGATAATGATGTTTTCCAACCCAGACTAATGTGACAGACTCTGACAATCCTCCTGATCCTGTACTCTCTACCTCTGGTACTCAGTCAGACGATCAACCTGAATGTCGTTATTCCCTACGTACACGACAGGTATTGAGAAATCCTCAAGTATCATTTGTAACTACCAATTCAGATTTGCCTCAAATACAGTATGAGTTAGCCAGTGCTACAGAGTTTGATCCTCCAAGAGATGACACCCATTCTGCATATGTCAATCTCACCCTAGCAGAGTTGGGGTTAAATGTAAAAACCTGTATAGATGAATAATTCAGTATCAACTTATCAGTATTCAAGAATTTTTTTGTGTGTTCACGTTCTCTCCGAATTCTGAGAGTTAACAGTCTAGATTTGAGTGCACCGAATCTGCCTTTCTGTTAAACACTTCTTTCTTTGTATATATTCCTTCCTCAGAATCCGTAGATCACATGAATACAGATCGATCAATCAAATTTTTTTTTTATCACTTCTATTGTGTAATCCCAATGTTGAGTTTCATTCGATGAGTTGTGCTATATTATACCTTGTATTGCATTACAGTTTCATTACAGTTTCAGTTACATAAGCTTCCATTCCAATATTCTACTTATGTATGTTATAATGTTCAATTGTTGTGTACTTTGACATTGTATAGAATCAGCCCAAGCCGTATACCTGCCGTCTCTAAGTTTGTATTAGTTGTATGTCGGGACGACATACGTTAGCGTCGCCGAGCTCTCAGCAGTAGTACCAGTTACCAGTAACCAGTGTACCAGTAGATGACTCACTACCAACCGTCTCTGTGTGAATCACTGACTGTATTCATATTGCTGCTGACCATAGCAGGATTTCAAACACCCCCTCGCACTGTAGACACTTGTGAGTCAGTCAAGTTAGGGAGCAGAGAGAGGCAGGTCGGCTGTTGGTGCCTTCCCATACCTTCCGTTATATTATACGTACTACCAGCCTACGTGAGTATTCTTACCCCATCCACATATCGAAAACCCACATGATAGTAGTCACCCCATACCCATCCTGTGGGTGGTAGTCACCCCATACCCATCCTGTGGGTCGTAGTCACTCAATACCCATCCTGTGGGTCGAAGTCACCCCGTACCCATCCTGTGGGTCGTAGTCACTCAATACCTATCCAGTGGGTGGTAGTCACCCAATACCCATCCTGTGGGTTGTAGTCATCCAATACCCATCCTGTGGGTGGTAGTCATCTAATACCAATCCTGTGGGTGGTAGTTATCCAATACCCATCCTGTGGGTGGTAGTCAAAAGACTACAGAAGTATATAATGAAACGCTTCGGTCTGGAGTTTTATAACTCTGATCGCGGGTTCTATCCCCGCCCATAGTATGGTTTGTTTGCAATCGTGTCATCAAGATTTCGTGAGTCATGAAAAAGTGGGCCTCAAAGTTTTCCTAACTAATCAAGTTACAATGGTAATGAACTATTTACATGTTTATATCTAGTGACAATAGTAAAGTTATTTATTCAGAGATGAATTAACTCACAAAAATATTACAGAAATATTACCTTATATTTTAGCAAGGTCATGCTTCGTAATCAACTGTTCTACTCTTATCTTCAAACAGACCATTGTAATCAGCAATCGCTTCAAAACATATAAATATAGTCAAATGGAATTTGTATTAACAATTAGTATGGGAAATGTGATGGGTCACTACTGTTGGACAAACAAAGCTGTCAAGGATGGCACGATGATGTTGTATTATTATTATTATTATATTATTATTATTATTATTATTATTATTATTATTCACGAAATCGTAATAACACGATTGCAATATACCTAGTTGAATGAATCAGCCAGCTGCCCAGTGGGTTATGCACTGGCCTTGAGTTTCACGACTCACTTGCCATGGATTCTAATCCTACCAATTCCGTGGTTTACTATTTTTATTGTTGTTAATGTAGTCAAGTTAAGCGCTAAACCACACATCGAAGAAAGAGGACTAAGCCTCCATTACTCATTACTCTGAATGACCCACACGGGTTATCTCAAAGTCACTAACATCCCATCCCCCCAACACCACTCCTTCTACTATAAGCATAAAGAGGATCAAAATGGACTCATACTGACATTTGTGTTTTGCAGTGTGTGACAAGCAAGAACAGGCAGTGAATGGCAGGCAAGCAGAGAATACAGTGAATGGCAGGCAAGCAGAAGAGGCAGTAGATGTGAAGCAGTCAGAAGAGGTGAATGAGGCTCCACAGAAAACATATCGAAGTCTCATCACAGAGTCGCACGTCAAACAAGCTCTGAAGGCACAACAAGGCAGCAGTGCACAGCTGCTCTCATGGACTGTTACAGACTTCACTAGCAAGGGCGACAACTACGCATGCATCGTGACAAGTGTAGATGTTTGTTATCATAAAGAAGGAAAAGACAGGAAAACCTCATTTGTAGTGAAATGTAATCCATGTCGCGCCCTCCAAATATTCAATGAATTTGCGACTACAGTTTTTCAGAAGGAGGCGGGATATTACCTGGAACTTTTGCCCTTACTCAACGCTCAGCTCAGTCTTGTAGGACGTGAACCAGTACGGGCTCCTCACTGCTATTTTGCTCATATTACTGAACAAGAGGAAGTTATATTTCTTGGAGATTTGCGCCCGGAAGGTTTCAAAATGTTTGACCGTATGAAAGGAATGGACACGGCCCACGCTGTCCTTGTCCTCAAGGAACTAGGTAAACTTCACGCTGCCTCTATCTTATATCAGAAAGAAACATCAGTAGTATTGGAAGACAAGTACACATATATTCAGAAAGACTTTCACTCAATATTTGGAGGCGATGACTTTAAGAAAATGCTTACTTCACAAGCCGAGAATGCAGCAGAGATAGCAGAGAGAATCGGTGGGTACGAAAAAGTCGCTGATTGGCTGAAAGACTTTGCACCAAATAGCAGCGACGTCTTCCTGGAACAAATAAAGAAGTGTCCTCCCTTTGATGTGCTTTGTCATGGTGACTGCTGGAACAACAACATCTTGTTCAAGTAAGCATAATATATTCATAGGAAAGCGCTCAAACCCATTGCGGTCATGCAGCGCCTACGGGGAATTGTATTTATTCAGATTTGCCAAAGCCGGATCGCTATTCTTTCGTCTCATGGGAGAGGTCAGAGGGTTAAGTCCTTTACGGAGGATCGAACCTACGTGCCTTGCACACGTACAGAATAGTGGGTAACTCCAATTTCTTGGATCAAAAGTGGGTTTTATACTTCGGCCTCTGAGACCTTCAGCTCATTAATTTCTTGCAATATTTATGACTCCAAACGAGTTTCTCTGTTTCCAATGTCTAGTGTTCATTACACTTCCAACATTATATGTTAATATTTACAATAACATCACAATAAACAACTATTGTTTTAATAGTTTAGCTACACTGAATATTAATTATATTACAAAAGTTTTCTTCATCTTTCAGTCTCATTCTCAAAGAATTTTTCTTGAAAATGTAAATGAAACCTCACAAAAACTTTTGGAATTCAACTGCCATTCACTGTAGTGAATGGTAGTTGACTGTAACCGTGGTTCAGAGACTCTAACCGTGGTTCAGAGATTAGCAGATCCAATGGTTTACAACTCAGCCACCGGGATGGACCTGTTAAATCTCGGGACCACGGTTTGAGCCTCTGTCCACCTTCTTGTTTATTCAGCGACAGTCGTTTGTTATGGCTTAAACTGACTTACATGTAAGTATTTATCCAACAGGTACGATGAGACAGGCGTCCCGGTCGATGTAAGACTGCTGGACTTCCAAATCAGTCGCAAAGCCTCGCCAGCCACAGACCTCAACTACTTCATGTACACCAGTTTCAATGGAGCTAGAAAGGAAGGAAAATTTTGGGAAAAACCTTCTTGAATGTTTACTATGAGTCCCCTTTAAAAGAGGTGCTGGGGGCAGGAGGAACCAAAACTGAGTTTACATCTCAGGAAAATACAAGAGGAATATCACAAGAAGAACTTGTTTGGTTTGATAATGGGAATGATGGTTTGATGCCATTGTGGTGACTCAGGCAGCGGAGGTTTATGGATCTGGATGATATAAACTGATGGAGACTATGAAACGCTTGTAAAGGGGCACAGGGAAAGGATGTTGAAACAGTTGGACAGTAATCCACTTCTGCGACCTCGGGCTTCTCTCTATATTTGATGAGATGTTAGAATATGGAGTAATAATTAAGTGGTAATCTTAAACAGATCTTGTTACGGAGTTTTGGAAAATATAGTATTAGCAATAGTTTAAAGATTGTTGAAAGAATGTCTATGAGGGAAGAAATTTTATGTATATTTTAATATTTTAAAAAACTCAAATCAGATAATAATTTATTTCCACATACGTTGTTTTTCAAAAATGAATAACAGTTAATAACGCATGTAGAAAGCCCATTGTTATGCAGAGCATTTCGGGCAAACTTAAGCCTCATGAAGACTACATGAGCAATATATATATATATATATATATATATATATAATATATATATATATATATATATATATATAATATATATATTATATATATATATATATATATATATATATATAAACACTGATCTCTGGCTGAAGGAGACTCGAACCTACGAACCTTGGAGCAAGGTACGCAGTGCTTTACCAATCTACCCACACTGGACCATGCCTTGGAGTCCAGTTTGCGCTAGACTTTGATCCAAGGCAGGCAGCTTACAGGGAGAAGGCTTACAGCTTCTCATCTCATCCCCTGCATGCATCAGCCTTACTAGAGATATTAACAATGCAAGGTATTGGTCCATTGTGGGTAGATGGTAAAGCACTGTGTACTTTGCTCCAAGGTTCGTAGATTCGAGTCTCCTTCAGCCAGAGATCAGTGTTTGTGTATATTTCGCCTGCTCTTGCAAATTCCTTGCATATAAATATATATATATATATATATATATATATATATTATATATATATATTATATATATATATATATATATATATATATATATTTATATAATGTCGTGCCGAATAGGTAAAACTGGTCAATTAGCAAGAACTCGTTTAAAATTAAGTCCTTTCTAAATATTTTCTGTCATACGTTTCAAGATTTGTTTTCATATATGTTAATGTAAAAAATTAATAATTTTTTACCAAAAGAATCTTAGAAAACTTACCTAACCTTATTATAACCAAGGAAATTTTAATTGTTTAATCCAATTTCCCCTTTTCAGGGGGGCCCCTTTGGGGCGGGTGAAGGGCTCTTGGTCTGGGGAATTAGACCTGTCGGTTATTTCCCAGACCGAACCAAATTTACCCCCCAACCCCCCGTTCCCTTCCCACCCCCCCTTTTTCTTTCCCCTCCTCCTCCCCACCCCCCCTTTTTCCCCTTCCTTTTGGCCTTTTTTTTTTTTTTTTTTTTTCCCCACAGGCACGCTAGTTCCAGGTGGGGGAAAGGGTACCGGGGCCCATCCCTTTCCTTTGAGGTTCTTGGCGGTGGTTTTTTTGCCATGGAATCTGGTTTGCCGGGAGTCCTGATCCCTCTCTGGTACCCCAGGGGTGGCTTTGGGTGTCTCCGGGCGACGGGGTATTTCTGGAACCACCTTTCGATTCCGGGGTGGTGGCCGAAGGAGGATGCTTTGTGGGGATTTCCGGCCGCCCTTCTTTTGTCCACCGAGGTGCCGGCAGATGTAGGTTGCTACCCGGATGCCTTTTTACGGGCAGATGGGAGGGTATGCAGGGCCCATGTGCATCGCGCTCTTGCGTGCTGAGGCCTCTTGGGCGCAAGGGGATTTCGGGCCCCTTTTCATTCCCCTAGGAACTACACTCCCCGGCCCCCCTTTTTTTATTTTTTTTATTATTTTTATTTTTTTTTCTTTCTTTTTTTTTCTTAAAACAAAAAAAAAGAAGAAACCTAACCAGGGAAACCCTAGTCCATGAACCTGCTACCCCCGGGCCCCCTTTTTGATACCGCCCCCCCTTCGACCCCCCTCGTCTTTGGACCCTCTTGGGACACCCCTCTTCCTCTGTACCTCTTGCCGGGGCTGTTTCCCCACCGTTCAGGTATGGGTCGACGACTCCTTCAATTTATCGACCTTCCTCTCCCCTGCTATCTTTTCCCCCCCTCCCCTACGGGCGGCAATTTTTGAATCGCCCGGGCCCCCCAGTCGGGGCCCCAAATCTGTCCCATCCTAAAAGCCCAAAGACAATTACCGTGATGAATTCTCCACCTTTTCGTCTTCCAGAAAAGATCGACACATCCTTCCTACCTTTCCACGCTCAGTTTTAACTGCACAATGGACTAATTCTTCACTTTTCAACTGACTTTCCCCTACTGCCTATCTTTCTGACCAAGTATTAGCAAGGGACCTTACGCCTGTTGGTAAAAAATATTTCTTTTCATCTTTAAGACGTAGCACATCACCTACAGAAAGTACCCAGGCTCATGAGCTTTTTCCGTCTTTTCCCCTACGATTCTGTTCCTGTCACTATTGAAAAGCATCATTCCCCCAATTCTTGTAGTGTACGTCATTCTCCCAACCATAGTTCAACAAAATTTCCAGCATGTGGCACTGACATTTTGAACAGCTGGAATCCAAAATCCCCAAACCTCAAGGGAGATCTTACTTCTTCCTGCCCGCGGGCGGAGACAAACCCACAATGTGGCTTGTTTTTAAATTTTTACAGCCGTGAACTCCCCTCCTCATTTATGTAGCAGGGCATCTTACAATTTGAAAGGGGGACCCCACACCCCAACAGTGTAGAAATTTCTGGCGACTTGCCATCCATCTAAATATTGCAGATCTATCATCGAATGCCCAGTCTGTGGTGCGATGAACATTCTAATATGCGTCTTGCGGAATCAACTTTCCCTCTTGCCTAATTGTCATGAGGCTCTCCCCTTTCGTACTCTCGCCGTTTGTCAAGTCTACTTAACAGCGGGAAATCCGTTACCTCAAAGAGGCAAGGAAGGTCTCCCTTATGCCATGGCATGTTTCTCATCTCCGCCTCCAAGGGGACTATACCGTCGTGTTCTTATTTCCCTTGTTTTCAAAAACGAACGACCCCGCCAACTTCTGGTATCTCCATCTTCTGCACACACCTCTGTGTTAACCATCTCCCAATAGTCACTCCTGTAGCTAATTCTTTTGCTGTCCTCGGCTCATACGTCCCTACTTCACATGCTCAGTTCTATTCTCGCTTCTTCGTGTTCTCTCTCACCAGCTCATAGCGACGAGATCTCGTATGAAACACCTCCTCCCAATCGTCCCTCTATCTTCATCAAAAGTCAAAAAAGGTCCGTTAACACCTCCTACCCCATCTTCCACCACCTCATTTTCCCTCTCCTGTCTCTATTACCTGGTTCTCGCTTCTCCGTCCCCCTCTCACTGGCTTCTGTTACAAGTGTAGAGTTCACCCTCCTGCCTCGAACTGTACCTTCCTCCCCTTATAACGCCTCCTAAAGTTTCTTTCTTCCCACATCAGCCACCGTCCCAGGTTTCTGCCTCTTCTGTCCCCTTCCACGCTTCTCCAGTTTCCCTCCACCCTTTCGCCCCCCCCCCCAACCTTGGTACAGTCCATACAGTTCCAATCTTTACTCATCCTCCCTCTACCATTTCCAATATTGATCCCCATACAAACTCTCTGAATTCTGAAACACTTGAAGCAATCTCAGAATATATAGCAGAGACAAACCATCAGTGACACTGATCCAACCCTGCCAAACCGCTCCTTCTCTCTCCTCTACTCCATCTGCGCAACTCCTTTCTTTCACGAGCGCACCGTTCCTTCGCTGTTGAACGTTTTCCACTCCATCCGATGTGGGACCTTTTGTAACCCCTCTAGTCCGTAGGAACCCTACCTGCGATTTCAGGTATCTTTATAATTGCAATCATGGGCCCTTTTTACAGTGGAATAAACGGCTGCCTCAGGTAATCGGTGAGCTTCAGATGTTACTCTCCCATTTTTCCCGTGTTGGTGTTTCTTACAACAGGAACCAAAAATTACACTCTGCTGTTAACTCTTCCCATCTCAGCCCTTAAATAATTTATGTATTCCTTCAGATCTTTTCCGATGGGACCTTGTAATGAAAGTGCCCTTCTTCTACGCACATATATTCCATACCATCCAGCTATTCTAGTTCGTACTTCGCTTTCATTACACAGCAGCCCGAATCCAATTGCATAGGTGGTATACGCTCTGTATCTATATATCTCTCACCTTCTCGGGCATTATCTATTCGCGGATAATGCCTTTCTTGTTTCGTCATTAACCACCACCGATTCTATTTACTTGGTGATTTAATGCCCACACATTTTCCTCTGGGTGGGGTCTCACTTTGATTCCCGGGCAATCGTTAGAGGCTTTCATGCACCTACCCCCTCCAAGTTTTAAATACAGTACTCACACCCATTTTGATCCTCGGACTCACACAACTTTCTCTTTCCATCGATCTCTCAGTCCTGCTCTCCTCCGCCGCATTAGACTTCACTGGTCTATTCTATTCCGAGTTACATGACAGCGATCAATTCCCAATCATTCTTTCTTCCCCTTCATATTCACCACCTCTTCAGCATCCCCCACGCTGGCAATTTGATCAGGCAAATTGGAACCTTTACTCACACCTAACTGTTATTTAGAGGTTCCTTCTTCGTCCCACCAACGATGAGCTTTACACCTCTTCTCGTCCTGCCGATTAAACTGCAGCTTCTCATTCTATACCCCAAACTTCGGGCTGGCATTCTCAGAAAGCGTGCCTGGTATCTCCTTCAATGCGCGTGCCATACGTTTGAAGAGCGCCTGCATAGTGCAGGTACCAGTACAGTAGAACCACAGAGAGACTTTCTTGATTTTAAGCAGAAGTGTGCC